AGCGGAAAAGGTGTTTTCTCATCCTTTATGCTTGTTTACCCCGTCCTCTTTCTTTACATATTTTTCGTTAATGCACCGCTATGTATCACTACTTAAGTAACTGAGAAGTAGATACGATCACTGGGAAAAGAGCTTTTTTCGTGTGACCTTTCGGATTCCAGCTGTAGCTCACCGTCTGAGACAGCATCGTGTAGAGCAATTCGTACACAGGTGTTTGCAGTATTCATAACATGCAAAGTCCAGGCTACTGCGTACCTATGCCAATCAACGGCTTCCTCCTTCATCTATAATAATTGCCCTCAGGCACGATAATTGCTTGATGGCCCGTGCACCTTGGAAGATGTGTCTGCCTGCGCGCTCCCTGAGTGGCTGATTGCTTTGGCTTAACCAAGTCTCAGCACCGAATATGGGTTGGGGAGATCATTATACCCGTTAGTCGACTGGGGGCCCGTAAAACATAATTGAAGTAACTAGCAATTCACACGATTTTCACCTCTTGGGAGCATTTCGGCCTCATCGAACTTGGCTGTGTGTCCGGGTCTTGTCGAATGAGCTGCTTCTTTAGAATTTGTATAATTTTTTCCGCAACCCTGCCGCATGTTCGGCAATTTGCGTCCGAAGTAGTTTCCCAGTTTCTTCGACGCATTTGCTTTACCTGCAGCAGCCCCGGGTCTGACAAACAACTCGAAGTGTTTCTTGCCGTGAAATTGGGTCCTTTGGTTTCATTATCTGACACATATGTGTGCGACTTTAAATCCAATTACTGCGAAAAAGCAGCTGGCGGCTTCCGAGACGTTTTTGATGTACGGGATTTCTCGCCAAATTCTGGAGTAGGTGTGATTTTGTCGCTGACGGTCACCGAGCAATTAGCGCACTAGGAGGCGATCATCATCTATGAAGTGGAAGCCTTCAGAAGATAAATGGGCGAACATACGTATGGTCGTGTGTTTGCCAATTTATCTTCAAAAATTTTAATGGGAACTTTTGCAAATTTAGAAGTTGACGCCGTTAATTATCCTAGGTATGCAGTCGTCTAGCGATTGCACCCTATAAATACTGCAACCCCCTTTGTACGGATTACCCCTACCTGACGCTGTCTCTGAAGAGGGGTTCGAGGTGGAATCCGAAACTCCAGGCGAATAAAGCTATTGTCGTAGCGATCGCTTTTACTTTTTCTCAAGCAAGGTCTCGAAATCACCTTAAGGCGTTATTTGTGCACCTGAGCATTGGCTCTGTTCATAAACCGCCTAAATGCAAATATGTTTTATCTAGAGTAAATCTTTTTACTTAAAACTTCATCAGTTGTGATAGGCGATTCGTAGACTTAGGAGTTTGGGGAGAACTGTGCCCGCGGAAAGGAACATTGCTCCCATGTGAAGGTGCTTTTCTTGCAAGCAGAAAGCCAAACGGATATATAGCAACGGAGGCACGAACGAACGCACGTGCACTTCTGCTTAGAACGCTGGCATTTTCTCCCCTGTAATTTTAGCGTCATAGTTAGAGTTCATAAAAAGACTTATGGAGGCAATTTCCTCTCCTAATTGGGCATAGGTGTAAAGAAACTGCATGTTGCTTCGCAGTGAACAGTTTCTTATTGTGAGCAGCTTTTACATGCACCACTAGGCTAGCGGTGAAGTAAGCCTCCGCTCCCCTGGGAGCAGGAATTATCCGGTGGAATGGAAGGAAGGAGTGTTTTTTTAACTACTAGTACACTAAACCCAGTACCTCGAACAATCGGATAAGTAGAGAGCTTAGAAGCTGAACGTAGGGTAGCAGTTCGGGCACGTCATTCACTGGAGAAAAGAAGTACGCATTGCATATTGGCTTTCATTCACCGAGTGTGAAAATTCTTGACCATGACAGAGGCTTCCTTAAGGCACCTCTATGTGGAAAGTATTTCTTCATTTAACGCTGAAAGCGCGACATGGGACGTCTAGCCACAAGGTTGACTACGTGCAAATCATCCCATTGTACAAAAAGGAAAAAGTTGGTGACTAGAATCGTCCTTTCTATCACTGTCAGCTGTAGTATTCTCAGACCTAGTTAATATGTATTCGGAAGCACGATCAATATCCTCATTCCTCACAAGTTTCGTCGTGGATTTGAGTAAATTCCCCAACTCCTTGAATAGATATTCCCGAAGGCTTTTGCACTGAAGACGAAATATTAATATCCTCTTTAACCACAGTAAGAATGGTAGCCGATAGTTTGGCTTTTGCAGAAGGTTAGAATTTACCGCGAACGATATACTCCCATGCGCTTCTGCAATACCATACGGCACTAGTAGGATGGTTTGCCTTTTCCAAAGGGGAATTAGGAAGATAGAATTCAGCGGAACCACTAGCTATGCCCGAGGTTCTCGTCAAGATGCAATGGCACAGGGTGATTATTTCGTCTGCTTGTTTTTCCGCTCTCTGCAGGCCACTTTAGACCCCCTCGAGGACATTCCATTGGCGAGCCGAGATATTTAAGTTGAAGGAAGTTGCTTTCTGGAGCGACTGAATGCGGCCGGACTGACGCTTTCGTGCCTTTACCAGGCCGAGGAGAGATCTGCGGAAGCCGAAACAGACGGGAGTGCTTTACTTTGAGTGCCTAACCTGATGTGCACTGCCCAGTGTGTGCAGGTCAAAGCAGGACAAGCATGTTGACTACTGTCAATGAGCCGTTTGCGGGCACGAAGTCACCCGCGGCCGCAGCATGGGGCCGACTGCATCCTTTACATGACCCACAGTTCTGGTTAACTTAACTGAATTCTCAACGAGATGCCTGGCATTTTGGTGGTCTATTCTTCATCCATCTGCATGAAATCACGCTTTCCTATCGGAAGGACTTCCCGCCTGTGATTCTAGCATCAGTTTGGATGTAGCTATTGCAGGTGTAACGCCCACACATTTTTCTAGTGCTTACATTTACGTTTTCTTAATACAACATTCCCTAGCTCACTAGAAGGGAACTATGTCCGGTTACATTGAACGCTACTCTTGTAGACGTCACAGCATTTGCGACATTGTAATCAGCAGCCTTTTGCTTTCTAATTGGACTGCTACCTTATTCTGTCACAAAACTTGCCTATTCAGTTTTGCGGATTCAAAAGTATCGCCAAGTGTACGCAATGTTCCGGAACTTTATTACCCCCATGAAAAACGTGATGACTGCTTCCGGGCTTGTAATCAGACTATCACGGCCCTAGCTGCTCCCCGCGGGCACTACTGTACAGGATTCTGCTGGTTCTGAGGCATCCTGTAGGCTGCTTGAAAGTACTTATTTGGTGCGTACACAGCGGCCGGTGTACCTGTTGCTAGTACCTATCAGACTTGCTGGTCCCGTTTTACGATTTGCATTCTCCTTATGCAATGGAACCTCAGTTAAGGAGTTTAATCCGTTCCGGCACCGAGCTCGTCTTGCAAAACATAGCCAATAAAACTGCATCGGTTCGCTGACTGGTTGCAGGCGACCGAGAACCCCTGCCCTGGGAGCAAGACTCAACGGCGGACACAGGCATCCATACGCATTGACAATTCGCTAACTGAACGGGAGCCCGTTAATGGAAACACATTGTCTACTAGTGACTCGCCCGTTGCCTGAAATGCTCGTAGGTGAGACTTCTCAGCACCATAGGCTCCACTGCACTTAGTGAACGTAATTTTGCCCGCCTGATGCGAGTTTACCACAGCACCTTTTCGGAATCGCTATCATCGTTTACGCTTACACCATTACACCTCCCCTAGCCTTCAGAATTTAACGTAACTCTCTTGTCAGGCTTTTCGAATTGGGACTATGCGTAAACCTTCCAACTGGAGAGTCCGAAAGTTGAGCAAGGCTGTAAGTTGTAGTCGAGCTATGGACTTCTTGCATCAGTTTGGCATTTTCGGCGTTTTTAAAAGACCTAGAAAGAGAGCGAGAGTTACTTGTTGTGTTGTTTTTTTAAAATAAACATTAAAATAGTGAAATTCACAGAACTCCGACCTTCGATTCTATCACGTCAACGCTTAATGCGTCCTGCTAATCTTGGCCTGACTCTTTTTTCTGGTGGGAGAGCCGTGCATACTTATTGCTGATAGAAGTTACCTGCCTGTCATGAGCTCCTGATAAAGCGGCATATGCAAGAGTTTTCAGGGCTTTTTCTGCTGTCTGCTAATGTTAAAAGCCGGTTACCTTGTTCAGTATGAAATCGGCCCATTTAATCTACGTACCGTGAGTCTCGATGTTTCACTCAATGTGATTTCAACGCTAACACGGAATGAGCTCTGACGTCCATGCATCCACCCTTCAGTCACACGAGACCGCCTCCGCATTTTCTCGCTCCTGGCTCCCCCTAAAAAGTATATTCATCGTGATAACACAGCACTTAACTTCCCCTTTTTGTTTACTTACAATGCCGCCTGAGAGAGTACATATGCTGGTCGTTGGCCTGCTTGCTGCCGTATAACCTAATGTCTGAATCCGGTTTTGGTGCATAATTACGTTTTATGACTGTTCTCCTAGTTTGCCTTCTTTTTGAAGGGCACTTATGTTCCTCCTCATAAATAGTTGACTATATATCACCTACCACAACTAGAAGCGAGATTACCACGATGGCACCTTGCTACCCCTTTAAAATCGTGATTTAGAATTCATCTCAGTCGAGGTTCTGATGCTTGGAACTGTTTGAAGTTTCTTTAACGACATTATGACTTGGACTAGCTCAGATTTTAGAGCTTTGAGTTCTCTCGTTTGTGCTTATCAAATAGCCCTCGGAATTCGATTATCTGTGGATGAGGAAGAAGGCGTGTCGAGCACCAGATCAATTGATTTATTGTCGATTGATTGATTGTCGATTATCTGTGTATTACTAACGACGAGGGCGAAAAGTGCTCTCACGCCTATTCACTGACGAAAACGTTGACTTCAGAATTAATATCTTTTCAGGGAAATGTAAACCAAGACAATGGATTTTTCGGGCTTTTCTACGCTCTCCCTGAACAGCTATAACTGTCACTGATTCTGGTACCTAATTTCCGATGTGTCTCTACGACTGCTTGTTAGTCGGTATGCGCCCGTTCTAGTATTAAAAAGATGATTTTTGATAATTAGGCGGCATGTCTTCCAAGTTCCGCTTTTGGCCACTCGTGTTGCTTGAGTGTGATGTGATTCGGCCCGTAACCTGTCTGTCAGTCATACCCGCATGGATCCCGCATGCTCCACTGACACTATGACAAAGGGAGAAGAAGATTCGATCGCTGAGACATCACTTTTATTCACCTGACGTTTCGACATTCGTCGCGGATTCTTCATCAGAGACGTGAATAGAAAGTAATAGCAGAAACAGATAACATATTCACAGGGATTTGCAGTATTTGTAAGACATATGCATATGTTACACGTTTCTGTTGCGGCTTTCTGCTCATGTCTCTGATGAAGAATCCGCGACGGATGTCGAAACGTCAAGCGAATAAAAGTCTTGTCCCAGTGGTCGAATATTCTCCTTTTCAATTACTTACTGGGACTAGCATGTTCGCTTGTATTGGCAGTATGACAATATTCTTTCCAGCCGCCTGGACTTTTAGCCTACCCCTCTATCTCTCTTTCAGACACTCTGTTTGAACGCCTCCTGGCCGAAATCTCCAATGCACCCTCGACCCGCCTCGTACAACTTATCTATGAGGAGAGTGCACATTTGCGAAGCCAAATCACAAAGGACCCTAATGCTGACGTCTTGGCCGCCGTAAGCAGCTCCAGAGGTCGCTTCCTTCACACGACGCCATCCCGCGACCACCAGAACAGTATCAACAGCTCGACTGACAGCGATCGTCCACTGGATACTCCCATCTCTCTCCAAATCTATGACGTTTCAAGCGCGTGGGATTTCGATAAGGCCCTGTTCTTCTGTACAACAGTCGTCACGACCATAGGTAAGACGCAGCATCTTATCCCGCTTCCTGCTGGCTGTCCTTGTTTCAATAAAAGCCCCTTTTCTGATCGGCCATTTTACTTGATGTAGCACACATCGCCGATAATTTTTCTCTGTGATGCGCTCTTTTACTGAATGCCATCAAGTATCCATCCCCAATTGTAAAAGTATTCGATGTCTTCATTACTCACATAACTTCTCAAGTTGTATCTCAGCCCTCTACGCTTGGAAGATAGATCTTATCTCATGCCACAATGGACAATTATGTATAAATTAATGTAATATATTGTTCGCGTGCCTCATCAATCACGGCCTACTTTTGATTTACCGCTTTGTGTTTCTGCTGTAGAG